AGCTTTGAACTTGCACTCCTGCCCAGCTTAAGACTGTTTTAATGCCTGTCTCTATAGTAATAGATAACTATTATTATAAACAGACTTTAAACAGAGATCTGCAACATACAGATTATTGCTGGTTCAAAGCTAACTCAACTTTAACTACTTAGCTCACAAAAGATGTATAAATCACACACATCCTGGATGAATATATAGGTCTTAGAAATTTTCTAATTCAAAACTACTGCTAAGTAATATAAGTACTAGTTGTATGAAAGATGCAGTGGGTTTTATCAAATTTTTGCTTTATTATTTTTTTCTCTATTTCATATATTTCTGCTCCTACTCTTATTTTTCCTTCCGAGTACATAATTTGAAAATAATTTGACCGTTGTTCTAGCTTCTTTCTGATACAAGTACTTTAAGTTACAAATGTTCATCTGAGTACTGTTCATCTCAGAGATTCTGATATTTTAAGCTTTTATTATCCCTTGGTTCAAAGGACTTTTTATTTACTTTTCTTGTGCTTTCTTCCATGACCTCTGACATATTTCAAAGTGTGCCATTTAATTTTGAAATAGTTGACATGTGGGCATAGAGTTCTATATATCTTAAGGTGACTGATTTCTAACGTAATACATCATACAGAAAACAGTCTGCATACTTTCAAATTTTAAAAAAAAGGTAACAGAGATACTTTTTATGTTGATTGATTGTATTGGTTACATAAATGTTAAAACTGACCAAATTGCATACTTCCAATATGTATATTTTATTATATTTCAATCTTATCTCAATAAAGCTATGGAAAGAAAAAGAAAGATGGAGTGGTGAATTTTTCTTCTTGGACAAAGAGTGGAATACTGAGAAATCCGCATGGAAAAACTATGCCATTGAATCCACGGAACTTATTTTTAAAAAAGAAAAAAAAAACATTGCTGCTTTAAGTTGACAGTGTCATTAAGCAGCTTTGTTCATGAAGTTTCTTGTGGTAAAAAACCAAATCAAGGAGCTTGATGATAAAGTTGTCCACCAACCTAAGAAAAAATGGAAATAGAAATGCTTTTTTTCTACATTGAAAATAAGAATTTTGTCTTTAGTTTCAAACCAGAAAAAAATTGCATCACTCTGTACAGTTAGTTCTGGTCTTGCAAAGAAAACAAGCCAAGCTGTTTTTTTTTTTTTAATTGCTTCTGTACCTGTAATTCATGAATAATAATCATTATCCTTTATTGAGCACTATGTACTAAGCCATATGCTACGTGTTCC